TAGGCATGAAAGCCAGTTGGGTGACTTTGGGTCAGTCACCAGGAGACTGGGAGTTCTAACCCCACCTTAGGCATGAAAGCAAGCTGAGTGACTGGGTCAATCCCCAGGAGACAGTGAATTCTAGTCTAGTTCTATACCTTAGCCATGAAAGCCAGCTGGGTGACTTTGGGGGCAATCACCGGGAGAAGGTGAGTTCTAGTCCTGCCTTAGGCCTGAAGGCCAGCTGGGTGACTTTGGGTCAGTCACCAGGAGATGGGGAGTTCTAGTCCCGCCTGGGTGACCTTGGGCCAATCACTCCCAATCCAACCTACCTTAAAGGGTTGTTGTGGCGAGAATAAGAGGAAGAAGGAATATTGTATGTGTTCACCTTCATACTTATAAAAAAGGGGATAGAAATAGATAAAATAAAAATAAATTTATCTATTTTGGAAATGCAGACTGCTCACTAAATAAACAGTCATTTAGTGACCGTTCGATCTCAGAATGGCACTTTCTGTGGAGATTGTCTGTCATCCAAGTCACGGTTATCCCAAGGTGCTTTTTCCAGAGGCAACTGGACGTTCTTGTTTTTCTTTGAAGACGTTTCGCTTCTCATCCACGAAGCTTCTTCAGCTCTGACTGGATGACGGGGAACGGAGAGATCTCTACTCCTTTGCAGACGGCTGGTCGTTTGCATCCTTTTATAGAGAGCCGTTTCAGGCCACTCGGAGGTTTATCCGAGTGGGGCAAATGGGTGTGGAGCCCTCTTGGAAGGACCGTGTTGTAGACTGGAGATAGATGACATCCTCCCCCTCCCCTTCTGTTGATAGAGGGGGGTTCAGTTTGGAGATAGATGACCTCTTGGACCCCTCTTTCAAACCAGCGGTCCAAAAGGTGGACTTTGCTGTCTTGAAAAGAGCGGCCTTTGTCTTTCAAATGCAGATCGAAGTGCTGAATCTTGTCCGGAGGGCTTGGTTCTCCCATGTTGTGCCGTGCGTTGGTGAAGCGGCCTGTTTGGTTTCCCCAGTCTGCCCACTTCTCCCTGCGCTGGACTGCCTCTATATGCCACCTTGCTCCATTTCCATCGGGGTCTTTTATCCTTGGGGTGAACAAAGCTTCTCTGCCTTCGTGTATTCTTGGGTTTGAAGGGCGCACGTAGGTTGTGTTGGCTAAAGAGCTTTCCCGATCTTCCTGCAACGCTTTGAACGACAGCGTTGCTTCGTTTACGGTTCTCTCCGTTGTCCGTTATGGACGAGCTCCTGTAGGGTCCTTTTTTTTCTCTTTTTTTTTGAGATTGGATGAAGGCCCCCCTTGGGATAGCCACGCGTTCTGAGGGCTTCCTTGATGTGTTTTCATTCTTTTTTTCAGGGTTCAGATGGCTGCCATTTTGTGCTCCCGTGGGTGGTGGGAATCAAAATGCGGTGGGGAATTAAAATCATTCCCTTCCCCAGAGCTGAAGAAGCTTCTTGGATGAGAAGTGAAACGTCTTCAAAGAAAAAAACAGAAAAGTTTCAAACCCAACGGTCCTCTCTGTCCAAAAGGTGGACTTTTGCTGTCTTCAAAAACCTTTGTCTTTTGGATCAACCAGGGACTTTGCGATGTCCCTGGGATCAACAGAATGCACCCCTCGCTATCACCGTCTCTGCGGGACGGTTTAGGTCCGTTGGGACCGACCAGGGGCGAAGATATCAGCTGCGATCTCGGAGCCCCAAGATCGCAGCTGTATCGCAGCGACGTAGCTCCGCCTTCTCCCGTGTTCTCCTGTGTTGCGCCACGCGTTTGTGAAGTGGCTGTGTTGTGTCCCCAATCTGCACATGGCTCACTGCGTTGGACGGCCTAGAACGGTGATGGCGAACCTTTTCGTTGCGGTGTGCTGAAAGCCTGTGCACGCTTGGTACCCACAATGCAATGCGCCCTGCCCACCCTCCCCCCCGCCTGCACTGGCAACACCCCCATCCCGCCCCCTTACCTGCACTGCGCATGTGTATGCCTCCCAGTTGATTTCTGGCCCGTCTGAGGCCTTTTTCACCCTCCCAGAAACTCGAGGGAAGCCTTTGGAGCCTCAGGAGGCTGAAAAAAACCGTTTTTCCACTTCCGGTATTTCCAGAAGGCCCATTTTTCAGCCTCCTGAGGCTGCAGAGGCTTCCCTTGAGCCTCTAGGAGGGCGAAAAAGGCCTCAAAAGGGCCGAAAAAATCAGCTGGGAGATGCACGCATGCGCAGTGCCGGTAAGTTTGGCTGCGGTTCACGTGCCTGCACTACATTGCTCAATTCGTGTCTGGGTGTCTCTCTCTCTCTCTCTCTCTCTCTCTCTCCCTCCGTCTTTCTCTCTCTCCCTCTCTCCCTTGCTCTCTCTCCCTCTCTCTCCCTTTCCCCCTCTCTCTCCCCCCTCTCTCTTCCCCCCTCCCTCTCCCTCCCTCCCTCTCTCCCCCCTCTCTCTCCCTCCCTCTCTCTTTCCCTCTCTTTCTCCCTCTCTCTCCCTCCCTCTCTCTCTCCCTCCCTCCCCCCTCTCTCTGTCTCTCTCTCCCCCCTCTCTCCCTCCCTCTCTCTCTCTTTCTCTCTCCCTCCCCCCTCTCTCCCCCCCTCTCCCTCCCTCCCCTCTCTCCCTCCCCCCTCTCTCCCTCCCCCCTCTCTCCCTCTCTCTCCCTCTCTCCCTCTCCCTTTTTCTCTCTCTCCCTCTCTCTCTTTCTCTCTCCCTCCCCCTCTCTCTCTCCCCCTCTCTGTCTCCCTCTCTCTCCCCCTCTCTGACTCCCTCTCCCCCCTCTCCCTCCCTCTCTCCCTCTCTCTCCCTTCCT